TAATATCCATGGGAAACGTTGCGATATATTTGTAAGATTTTGGAAAAGTGTATGGCCTGTGTGATACAAATTTCAGACGCACAAATTGATGCAGATAATCGTCTTGTACTTGGTAGGGCTGACTATGTGTGCAACTCCCGGAATTTCCGACACCATCGGCAGCTTAGCTGGGTTGGAAAAAGATGTTGAACGATCTTGATGCTCTGCAGCCATGTTGTAGTAGTAGGAGTAGTGGTCGTCGATCAGCCTCATGAACTCTATTCCGTCCGACGCCCAGTAGGTAGTCGACATTCCACGTGTGGTCTTGCAATTAAGCATAATGCTTGACATTTTCCCGACCAGACTTTCACGCAGCGGCTCTCGATAAAGTTAGGCTTCTCCGTTGAATCCGGAATCCGAGTGCGAATGCCCCACATCGACTGCATTTAATCTACACTAGTGTAATAATGATCAAACTCGAACGTCAAGGGGTTTCCCCTATTGAGGGAGGGAATCATTGACTATATACCAATCACAATTGCACGTAAACGGAAACTCCCCGGGCTTAGAGGCGGGGATAGTTAAGGGATACGAGATGCATGGGTCGAGACCAGGGAAAACCTCACTCAATGGAATACGGATACATTTCCCGCGTAATATCTCCAACACCCCGTCTCGACCTTTCAAGAGTAAACGAAGGAAATTGATCCCTTTCATCGGAGCAAGACAACACTACAACTCCATGGCCTGAGCCTTCTGAACTTCCTAAATCTTCTTAAAATAATCGCTTTATAGTCCGCAGTTTTTTATCTTCCAATTCTTCAAGTTGTGCCTCAGATGTCATGACGAGGCAATTCCCGACAGGATCCAAGCAAAAGAAAACACACCAAGCCAAATGCGTCCTCCCTATCAAATCTGTGCCCTTCCACCTATTGTTGGCAAGACATTAGGGGCCCCGGCATTTTCTCCTGATTGCCTGCTAAACGAACTCAGCCATCCACGCTGTTGATACAATAACACAGATTACAAAGCCACGCACGCAGCAGACGCTAGATGAGAACAACTGCATCCGTCAGGTTTTCCATGTGCAAGGGTCGATGGAACCAGTACAATTAGTGATGGTCTGCTCAAAACTGCTAACAATGAGTAGTTTCTATCCTCAATCGTACATCCCAGTCCACGCTTGCTACAAGCCTATACCGACATCCTCATTCTGCTGATACTGGCTACTGCGCAGCGTCGGCTGACGAGATTAGTCAATGAGGGTATGTGACGGCCCGACAATGAATCTGCAGAGGGCCCGAACCGATCAGGTGACGATAACTTCGACCGAACGCAGGCTTCCCCCGTTGTTGCCGTGCAGATCGGCACGCAAGTCCTAAACCTGGTTGGTTTCGAGGTGGCTACGAGTGTTTTCCAACTGATCTGAGTCAAGTCCTGACATCAGGCACTAAAGGAGATGAGCAGAGTTGCGAACAAGGCACAAGCTTCGGATTGCCGTTTGTTGATAGCGCTTGATCGACTCTACTTTCTCGGCTCACACAGCATTCGGCGACTTGTAAAGTTCAACTACCGTCGCAATCGACGCTCGGTCGTTGTGTCAGGGGCAGTTTGCCGGTTCCCGTGATTTCTGGCAATTCCCAAGTGTCATTCACGATGAGAGGTGAGACACGATAAGGGTTCCAGTTGGTTGCGACGTCGGTGACGGGGTTGCGGTTTCGTCATTATTCTCAATCTGTGCCTCAATTGTCTCCTGTGCATCATCTCATGTCATGCCGTCCGATTCTTGCAAGGGAGCCCCAATGTCTTGCAAGGCATGTCGATCTTATAGTCCAATCATGTTGATAGTTTTGTAATTGATGTGTCGTGTGCTTGGTTCTTTAAGGTCCCACCTCAAACACTCCCGTCTGATCTTGAACCATCCGAAGTGCCGAAGGCACTGTCTTGATCGCCATCTGCCTCAGGGTGGTCTGAGCTTCCATCGTCTAAGGGAGTCACGATATCACTACACGTTACAAAAGTGATCGATTCGTCGAATACTGCAAGAGTGATGTGGTTCTAGTCACACTAACATCTTTCGCTTCATCATTGAGTTGAACTCAATTTGTTCTCAAGGTTCTGTGAACCCCGTTTCAACATCATCCGCTCCGCGCAGCAACCCCCAAGATTTCTTTTTTTCTCAAGCAGCTGAACCACCTCTACATTTCCGCCATCGCCCGCACTCATCTAATCTTCGAGAAGAAGTGTCAATAATCAGTTTAATTACCTGCAACATGCGACCCACCAAGGCTCTTTTTGTACTTTTCGGCACATCTAGCGCATCGGCTGCCACGATTCGGCGACAGGCTGACGGGACTGATTTCGGCAAATGCACGCCAACAATGGATTTTCAACTGGGCCGTACTGGGCGCAAGCCAGATCAAGGCACTTTCTTACCAATTGACGCTCTCGTAGCCAAGGGTCAACAAGACGCGCTGAATCCAAACATTATCACGAACCGAATTTGCGACCAGCTCACCAACGTATGTGAGGCGAATCAAGCTGCAAAAGACCAGTGTCAGCGAGCTAAGGCTCAGGTCTCTGCGGCTGGCGTCAAAGATGCTTCTGCTGCAACAATTTTCAACAGTGCTTTGGGTTTCTAGGGAGGAAAGCCAATACTTTGATTCCACTTCGTTGGGGGGATGAATTGAGAAATTGTGTTGTACCCCCCCCCCCCACACTCGCCTACATTTCAAGGGCAAGAGTCGAGTCGAATTGGCTCGGTCGAGCAGTCCATGATACAGTATGTGTAATTCGGCATTCAGTCATATGTTCTAGACGCAAAAGCCTGGTTGCTGATCTCACACGAAAAGAGCGGATGCAAGGGAAAACACCATTGGACATAGGTGTGACTTGACGAAAGAAACGATTCAGACTTTGATCTACGTGTATGGCCCTCCAAATCCAGGAATCAGTTATCCAAAACCTCGGTGTGTGAAGATGTTGACAAGATTATAAGGGCAAGTATTTGTCCCCTTTCAAATGTGACTCCGTAATCGTCCAAGGACATGACGTGGGCGTTTCGTCCACGATATTAAAACCTTGGTGTTTCAAACCTATGATATTTCTATTAATCAGGTGAACCAGGGTCAGGAGGAGGCATCTGCGATTCAAACTGCTATCCTCAAGGATGTGATTTGACGGGATTCTTAGTCTAAGGCGAAGCATCTTATTGATGCCATATGCCAAAATATTATCAAAAGAGGATATAATGTAGGAAACCCATACTTATTGAAAACCTAGGAGCACAACGTTTTCCCAAAACAGAAGTATTCCATTGTTCGTGGTGGTATATGATCTCCAAGCTATTCCAGCTGATACTTTTTCTCAAAGGTCATGGGCTCAGTGCTGAGCGGGTGTGTGAGGCTTGCAGCCATGTACAGTATTTCTGCAGCTGTCGTTAGGACGCGATACTAGAACCTACCATCTTGTACATCAAGCTGTATGGCGAGGGAACCATACCGGATAGGGAAGTGTCGAAGTGAGGAGAGGGACTCAAGAGGAGAATGGGAGAGACCAAGGCTCCAAAGGACTCACAAGATTCGAGGGCGGTCAATGCAGTATTGGTGCCGTCGGTTTTATCCTACCATCCGACGTTTGTTTGATCAGAACACACTAGGCTGGCAAGATACAGTGTCTATCCCATTTACAAGCTGGTGGAAACAATCAGCCAAGCGCAAATAAGCCATCATTATTCGGTCGCGATCATTGGAAGTCCGGTGGCTTCCCGGACGAGACATGCTCGTAATCCGCCAAACCCCGCCCACTTCGTAAGGACTAGACAAAAGTATTTACTTCGTATGTGTGTTCCTTACCCATATCCTTAGATCTAGGTGCCTGAAGCACGCGCTTGAATGTCTTAGTCGTCTACCTACCTACAGGTGTCCGTAGCTAGGCATCAGGCAGGTCAAGATCCCTCGCCAGGCCTTAACGCAATCCGCGGTTCCTGAGCTATGGTATCTGAAAAGTTGCTACTGTACTCCATACGAGATTACCTATGCTTTGGCTTTAGTGAACTGTAATACTGTGGCCGTTGAGTTCAATGTTGCCGTTCCAGGGCTACGGAACCGGGGGTGTTGCGGAGGATATCTGCGGGAGAGCGAAAGAGGTCAACGTTGGTAGGACGCACCCGATCAGTGATGACTGCCCACGACAATGTGAATTGGGAAAGGTACATGTGGCTCTTTTATCTGTTTAGAACAGGACTAATCCAGCTGGTTGATCTTTGGAGGTCCGGGATCGACGATGTGCTTCTCCATAATTAAGGTATTGAGTCAATCCAGCCATGGGCTGTATTGTCAGCTTTTGTGTATCTTTCTTGGGTTTTCTTACTATCTCCCGGCTTGGGCCGAAATGTGGAATCTACGGGTTCTAGGGACACTTTACTCGACGTCAGCCAGCAAGCCTGCACTTGTGAAGGTGGTGTTCTTTTTCTTTTCTTTTCTGTTCAAGTAGCGTGCATGCTGTCCCCTCTATGAACGGCCGAGCCTGGCCTACGAAGAATTTCAAGTTCCCCGAACGAATGCTTACCCTCGAACAGGGCGTCCAGAGCCTTTGCTTACCAAGTCTGGAAGTTTAAACCAGCCAGGTTCTGTTTTACAACGTTGAAACGGGAGAACCCAGTTGAACAATCTCTCGCGACTTGTCGTCAGCCAGGCTTTGGGGTTGAACTCGTACATAATTTCTTCAGTCGGTGCGCGCGCTAGCCGTGTGGATTTCGGCTGTTGATGGTGCACATGAGCTTATCAATGAACACGTTGCCGAACTTATCAACTTATCAGAGACTCGTCATCTCTTGAACAGTACTACATCCAAGACCGTCGATCTGGCACGCAAAGTCCAATTCTTCACTCTGGATGCCATATTAGCCTTGGCATTTGGGGCTAAGTTTGGCCACCTGGAGGCTGACAATGACAATTTTCGCTACAACAATGTCGAAACCGCAGAAAAAGTAGTTCCCATACTTTTAGCCATGGCATTGCTTCTCGAACTTTTACAGTCTTCAAGGCTCAAGCTGTTAATGCCGGATGCCAATTACATGATTTGAATTGGGACTGTCATGATAGATGACTCACAACACCACACAGGGACGATATGACGAGAAACTCATCATAGAACGCGACATGTTAGGCTCGTTTATTGCTCATGGCTTCGAGAAGAAGACGCAGAAAGAGAAGCAATGGTCCAGCAGGATGTTCTACGATGCTGTTCTTGATCACAAATCCTCACGTAAAGTACCTTAGTATGCGCCCACCTGCAGGCCGAAATAGACACAGGCATCATCATCAGCCGTTACTGATGATTGAAACAAGAAAGCCTCGATATCTCTAGGCACTCATTAGGGAAGGCTATACGTTATGACCACCTGCAACCGCTTCGCTGCCCAAGGTCTCCGAACAAGACGAGGTGGTCTGCGCAATTCACATTTTCCCAGAAACCAATGTCGAATGGGCACATTGGACCATTACAAGAAGAAAAGAGGTTCTTGGACAGGGCGTAGGCCTTTTTTACCTAAACTGGTGGGTTGTTATTCCTGTAGAGAAATGGCGGCTGGAGTAATGGACCAGTAGGTTATAGTGGACTTTATTTCTGGAAGTCGATACGAGTGTGTGAGAAAAACATCGTTATGATTGAGTCGAACGAAGTTATTGTTGATTTGGGTCTGGATAGAACATTCTTCGAGTCTTTTCTGTTCAACTTGACACGAGCGAGCGCTTTATCAACTAAGTAGACTTGGTTTGTTTCATCAATTATAGTTGAAGTCCTGGAAGCTGGAATTCACATTGCTGAACCCTACAGACTTCTGGAAATCTTCTAACGTAGCATTCTTCATTTAAAGCGACTTGCATGCGAGGGTCGCACGACGAGCCTAGATCGCCCAGAGATATGTTGAGGCTGGTAGTAACACAAAAAGACTTTACTGTTACGTGCGTCAATGGTCCGAGCAATCAGAATGCAAGGATCGCGAGAAGGAAGTCCAATGAATGAGATTTCAATGCTCTTGCTATAGGTACTGGAAGAAATTGCACCAGTGAATTTGGGTTCCCTGATACACGTTCCAGCACTTGTCATCAAGGGGCTCCCACGACGGCAGCATAGCAATCAGTAATATGACCTAGCAACTGAGCAGACCATTAGGGGGCTTCTGACTCAAACATCAAGCCAAGGTTAACGCTGTGGCCACCTGCTAGTGTCACGTGTCTCTTCGTAGGTACTCGATGTATTTTTGTTGCGCCCTAGGGCGTGAAGTTCATAGATTTGGCGCTTATCAATCTCCATGCGTGCGAGGCTCTCACTCAGGTAAGCGGAGCAAATGGAAGGATTTTTGACATGACCGTGCATGCTATCTTTCCTCCTGTTGCATATCATGCCATGTCGATAGCATGCCGAACTTCCCACGCTCATCGCCCAATGGGACTCATCCCAGACTCATGCCCCAAGTCACCGGTGGTCACGACGCTGAAGTCGCTTTGACATGTCAGCGAGGCCCTATATCCGCACAAGTTATGAATGCTGCCACGGAGCAAATAACTTTGGATCACCCTCAGCCCGATACGCTGGAAAGACATGCAACAACTCAACCCGTGACAGGCGGAACTTTCGGGCCGCCCTCTCTGACTGCGGGGTTGGGTCTGAACCCCGGATGCGCTCCGTTGGATGATAGCCTCGCGACTGGGACGTCGGGCCATATTTGGCCTTCGATGTTTTCCACGGCTGGTAGCGATCCCCAAGAGCCACCGATATCCTGGATTTATGATGGAAGCAGCGAAGCGGTTGATCCGAATTTTGCGCTTGGCGATGTTTCGTGGTCTCTGCAGTCTCCGGGTACAACGTTAAACCACGTCAATTGGCCGATCGCCTCCAATGGTGAGCTTGCTGACCAAACTGTGTTCAACACAAATAAAGGCCTCCCAAGAAGACGGAGCCGTTATCGATTTGTGCATTCGGAGAAGCAGGCTGGTTCAATACCAATTCCTGTATCTCCAAGCGATGGGGAATTGAGTCCTATGCAGCGATGGAGGAAGTCTCCCCCGCAAGACGAACCAGCCTCCATCACCGCCATACATGACGCGCTGAAAGATAGTGGTACTCGCATCGACGTCAATCGAACACCGAATGTGGCTGATTATGCTCGCACTGAATCCAGAACCAGCTTGGACAGTGGCGAGAGCAGTTCATCTATACAGTCGGCAAACTCAGTGTGGTCTGCAGCATCAGACGCGTCAAGAGGTCGCCGGAACGAACCAAGTTTACTTCATCGCACCAGGCGGGGAAGAGCGTCCAAGAAACGGGCAGCCGCCGCTTCCAAAAAAGACGACCGCCCTTTCAAATGTACATTCTGCTGCGATAGCTTCAAGACTAAGTATGACTGGGCTCGGCACGAGAAATCGAGGCATCTTAACCTGGAGTCGTGGGTTTGCGCACCGCGGGGAGGTTCGGTCACGTCTACAGTGACAGGTAGACCTCATTGTGCGTACTGCAGCGAGGTAGACCCGTCAGAAGAACATCTTGATGGTCACAACCATAAAGCATGCTACGAGCGACCGATAGAAGCACGATCATTTGGCAGGAAAGACCATCTCGTTCAACACCTCCGCGTTATGCACAAGCTAGACATAATGCCTCCATTCGATGGCTGGAAGGCTGAAGCCGTAGGGATCTCCTCTCGATGCGGATTCTGTGACATGGAGTTCATGACCTGGAAAAAACGCGTTGACCATCTCGCCAACCATTTTCGTCATGGTGCAACGATGAAAGACTGGAAGGGAGAACACGGATTCAGCCCAACGGTTGCGCAGCAGGTCGTGCATGCCCTGCCTCCCTACTTGATAGGTTCAGAGTCGCTGAGTGCTGTCCCATTTTCAGTTACAGATCAGAGCACCAGAGACCATTTTGCTCAGATATCGTCTCGCACACTTGAGTCACAAGAAGAAACTGGGAAGGGGACCGCTACAGTAGATGCTACGACGCCTTTGCAGTCAGAATCGATCCGCAGCTCCAGGGCAGCAACTTCAAAAGCTTTCACAGAGATCCTAGAGCAGCATTTGAGGCACTTTGCAAAGGAGCACCTTGCTCGAGGGTTCGACATCACCGACGAGATGCTTAGACAAGAGTCGAGACGCGTGATTTATGACTGCGACGATGAGTGGAATCAGACTGTTGCAGATAATCCCGAATGGCTAGAAAAATTCCGTCAGCGCCATGGTATTGGCTGTGGTGGTGATGGTGGTGACACTGCCGCCGAGGAAACTCTCGGGTTATCAAAAAGCACTTGATAATGATATGATATTTCGTGCCTCTACAGAACAAATACAAGTATCCCGCACAGTCATCGCTCACTTTCATGCTTGTATATCTCTGTCAATGATTCTCATCGCGTACAAACACTCTTCATCATGGAATCGGGGAGCAACGACTTGAAGCGAACACGGGGCGCCGTCCGTTGCTTCTGGATCATCTGTGATCGGTTTAGCACCAGGCATGAGAAGAACCGCAGAATTAGAACGATCAGTACTTACAGTCCGCTTCAAACTTCGAGGCCGCGTTCTGATAGTCGGGATCTCTAGTCTTGGAGGACACACCGTATGGTATTATCCCTGCGGGATACTGGGCCTCTCAGTTAGTTGAATCGTTGACTACATGTAGAGAGAGGTGATTGCGCTGGCTTACATCTAACACATTCCACATCAAGGTGTAGACAGGGATCCCATAGGTATCGTGGGGAACCGCGGTGCTGATCGCTCCGGGGCCAATGACAACATCAAGTTGATACTGGGTCCAAACGTCCTTCCAGCTGTTGGCATAGGAAGCCTGTAAGCTAAGGAACTCATCTAGTTGGTGTACTGTGTCCAACTCGGTCGGAATGAGGGGCTTTGAAGTTGTGAAAGGATGAACACCTCGTTTCACTGAATGTACAAGTGGTTCACCAATCTCACTCGCCAGGGCATCCAGACCGGAAGATCCTAGCCCGAAGTAATGGAACCCCAGCTTTCCACCAACACTGGCACTGCAAGCGGGGTTTGCTGGTAGTGTGACAATACTATGCCCTGCGGCAGTCAATTTTGAGACTGCGTATCGGAGAGCTCGTCGGACAGGCGGCTGCAAGGGATATTCCGGGTCTTCGGGAAGGATACCGATGGTCAGGGTCTTATTGCTTCCATAAGAGCTTCTCCAGGGGGCGTTGACTGCAGATGCGTCATAATGCCAAGGCCGACGACCGATCACTGTTTCCATGAATAAACTGAGATCATCAACTGTATTTGCCATCGGCCCAGCCACAGGGGTGACTCCAGGAAGCTGAAGTTTCCGAAAAGGATAGTTAGCTTGCCCTCCAAATGGCGTTCGATCCGCTGTGGGCTTGAAGCCATAAATGCCGCAGCAAAGTGAGGGGATCCGGATTGATCCTGCAATATCGGAGCCAACGCCCAATACTGAGCCCCTGAATGCTACAAGAGCTCCCTCACCACCGGTCGAACCTCCGGCGGTAAGAATCGTCTTGTGCGGATTCAAAGTTCTACCGAAAATGTTGTTCTCCGAGTCGGCAGTCTATTCAACCCTCGTCAATATACACTTGACCAAAAGTTTCAATCATTACAAATTGAGCAGGTCACGAACCATCATGGTTTGGGGAACGTTCGTTTTACAGAATAGGACGGCTCCAGCGTCCACTAGAAGATCGACCATTGCCGAATTAGAAGTAGGCAGTGGCCTTTTCAAAAACTCGACATAGCCGACAGTAGCGTAATGACCTTTAACGACGAAAGAATCCTATATCCATCAGTTCTACAAGGTGCTGGCGGATAAGTTTCCCGGATGGAGATACCTTGAGGCTAATTGGTAGGCCGTGCAATGGCCCAAGGAGCTCTCCAGTACGCTCTAGGTGCTGGTCAAGTTCTCGAGCCCTGGTGATTCCTTCATCGAAGAAGATTTCAGTCAAGCAGGAAGTCTAGAAGATGTCAGTACATGTAATTCGGCGTTTGAGAGCTCGGCCACAGCCTACGGTGACGGAGCGGGATGGAGATATCCTTACAAGCTGTTGAGCGAGAGCGGCGCGCTTGCAAAACGCCACTGCCACTTCTTCCGATGTGAGTTTCTTGTGATGAATCTTGTCGAGCAACTCTCGTGCGTTGTAGCACCCTGTGATGTCGAGTTCCTTTTCCGTCAATAGCGCCGATTTTCGAGCAACATCTTGGGCTATTAGTCGACCTTCTTCGGCAGTTCCCTTGCCTCGAAGCTTGGCTAGCTGATCATCAGAGATTCTCCATTCCTGAGGAATATTCTGCTGTTGCTTCAATCGGTGGCGAGAAGCAATTGCTTCCCATTCCATTGCCGCGGGCATCAATACTACGTCTTATAGGTTCAGAAGATATCGTGGAAGAAAGAGGTTTCATAGGTTGCATGCGTGGTTGTTGAGACTTGGATGCGATAGTCGAGTAGACCAAGGGCAAGAGACAAAGGAGAAAACTTGACTGCGTTGTCTTCTTTTCAACCCCAATTCACCTTGATGCTAGGAACGTCGCCGGAATTGCGGACGGTGGCACGCATCCCGGGCGGCTTGTCGGCGCGTCCAATGGCCAAATAGGGAAGGAGATGCCGCCAGATCTTGGCTGGTCAGTGTTGCCGATGCCGTCGGGTGCCGGGAGTCGAAAGTGTGATGCGTACCAGGGCTTTCAATTTTGAGGAGCCGGCATCTGCGCTCGGGAGATGGATGGGTGACGGCTTTTTCGACTCTGCAACAATTGCGTAACAAACCCCCTCTTATCAGTCTGCGAATGCATTGGTTTTGAATAACTATTTAAAACTCCGCCTCGAGCATTCGGCACATGTCCCAGCACCTCGTGCCAATTCCAAAAGCCATTCATAGTTCGATTCTCCATCTGCTTACTTCGAACCAGGATACATTCGGCAGGTCGACCCGCGCTCAACTTACATCCTAGTCATGGCACCTGCGAGAAGCTCCGATCATGCCCCCTCCCCCGGAAACGCCTTCTCGCCAAGTGGAGTAGCTGTGCCACCCATGCGCATGCCACATCTCGACTTCATCTATCGTATCGTCTGCGATATGGACCCCAACGTGTCCGAAATTGCAAACGTCGATAACACGGGCGTCACCCGTCTTGTTCTGCCTATCTTGAGCGGGTCAGTCAAAGGCCCTAGGATTACGGGCAAGATTGTGGAGAGAAGTGGTGCAGACTGGGCAGAGCGCATCAGCCCTGACAAGGTTGGCACAGTGCAAACAAGTCACAAACGGAGAGAAGTTCATACGGCTTACCGCTCTCTAGGTGTTCTCGAGGTTGCATGCCATGTATACTCTTCAGACCAATGATGGTATCTTTATTCTTGTCAACGCGCAGGGTATTTTCCGCACTGGCCCTGGTCAAACAGAAAAATCGCCTCGATCTACAATCAGTCAGGATGACGTTGAGTACTTTACACACATCAGGTTTGAAGCACCAGGGGGAAGCCCCTACGACTGGATGAACGCTGTGGTGGCACTCGGGGTAATGACTATGTTTGAGGGGCGCCCTATCATTGACTGCTATCGACTCACAAACTTCCCTGGCGTAGCGGCAGAGAAGCTTTGACTGGGATAGCGTACAGAACTGTAGATCTCGTCACTGGATGTATCCAGAAGGCAAGCAAGGCTTCAAGCTAGTTCGTATATAGCTGCAAATGTTGCGAGACACCAGGCCAATTACGACAAGCCCGACCAAGTTAAACAGCATCAAACGCAGAAGTTGTTTGGGACTTCTCACCAAACTCAGGAATGATGCCACACTTCGTGCATCAAAGCAAATCTCAAGTCAGGTTGGCAAGATAAAATACACGTACTCAGCACACTAAATCTGCATGCGCCTCTCCACAAGTCGCAAGTATCGGGGAGCCAGAATGGTGCGAATGCGCTTGCCCCAAATGATCATAGGGACATACAAAAGACCGATGAGAAGAGAAATAACCCCACTCAGAATGTACATATTGGTAAGGCCCATGTTTGACATCCAGGGCACAAGCGCCGAAGGGACACCTACGCTGACAGCATTACGAACAAATGCGACACCAACAAAGGCCTCGGCAGTCAGCTGTGGAGCTATATGTTAGTCGAAGACATTGAATGAGAGATTGATGCATTTACCTCTCGATAAGTATCAATGACAAATGTGAAGGTGATATCTCCATTTGCACCGAGGCCAAATGCGAATAGTGCGCCGCCGATGCTGGGGAAGATCCAATGCATTCCCTAGGGCTGTTAGTCTAACCAGCCGATGGAGCAAAATAATAAATGTAGCAGGAAGGCGACTTACTCGATCCGCGGTGACTCCAAACATGACAATACCACCAGCCATCGTGATGACGGGTAGAAATAATGGATACAGGCGCATTTCCGGCTCGAAAACGCCCCCATTCCTCTTAGCCAAGCGCAAGACAGTCCAGTCTGCTAAAGGTCCGCCGTAAATACTGCCGAAAATGTTTCCAATAAATGGGCCGAGGTTCATGTATCCGATTGCTGCAGTATTGAAATTGTAGGGGGGCGCAGAAAAGACGACGGATACAACCGACATGAACAGGACGAGCCAGCAAACACCAGATGCAAACTGAAGAGCAGTGAACATGACGTGTGGAAGAGTAATGACATGAAGTGGCAAGATGAAGACTCGCAGTAAGGATTCCGAGGTTGGTGTCAATAATCGCATGCGTTCGCGGTAAGAATTCATTCGGACATTCGTAGCGGGATTGGACCGCATGTAGTTCAGCTCCAGACCGCCTTTATCAAGGCTTTTGACTTTTGCCATGTCGTTCTCGCCATTTGGTGAGTTATCGTCTGTAAGCTCGCTTTCGCCGAGGCTTATGGGAACATATTTAGTCTCTTCATACAAGAAAACAAACATGAAGAAGAGAACGGTCAGAGAGATAGAGAGGGCGTAGTATGACCAGCGCCACCCCTGAGTCACGGCTTGGGAGCCGGCAGCCAAAGGCGTCAAAAAGCTTCCTGCCATTACGGCAGTAAAATAGAGACCGTTGGCAGAGCCTCGCTGGTGAACGAAGAAAATATCGGCAATCTGTTGCAGAAAAGAATCATTAGCGACAATGCGAGATAAAACCAGGGGATTTTGATAGGTATTACAGTCATCTGCACCGCAGTCTCGTTTATAGCGCCAGCTAGTCCCGTGATAACAGCTGTGGCAATAAGTTCTGCGTATGAATGCATAGATGATGTCCACCACGCTGCTGCTGCAAGAATCGCTGTGGAAACTAAGTACGTTAAGCGACGACCATACTTGATCGTGAACGGAATGAAGAAAATGCAGCCTGTGGCAAGACCTGCAAGCTGAGCGGACTGTGCGTTGCTGAGTTGGTTAATAGACACATCGAGGTCAACGGTCATTTGTTGCCAGAAGACGGTCTGGATCGAGAGGCTATGGAGGAAAGCAATCAAATCGTCAGCCAGGGAGTTGTTGCGCGAAGGGCAACAGATGGATTGGAAAACCGATGTGACTTTAACGTACTTGGTGAAAGCGGCCACGGTGACGCCCATGGCAAGACTGTAGTTAAGATACTTTCTCCATTTGCTCCAGTTCTATTTCACAATTTTCAAGAGTAAGAAGATGCCATTAACAAAGTATCGTAAACAGCAGAATCCGTACCAGTGGGTCGTTTGGGTCTGACGATGGGGTAGGGGATAGAACGAATGTTAGGGACTCTGTAGCGTCCTCATCTGGGGGAAGAATGCAGACGTCAGCACAGGTCTGCAAAGACTTCGAGTAAGAGACATACAATTCAGCAAGTGAACTGTTCCCGGAGGAAGGGGTGTATGTTGAGCCATTGTCACTGCTGGGCCGTCCATCGGGAACTCTCTACGACAGCGTTGAGGGGAGAGCAGAAAGAGACACAAACAATAGTGGGCTTGTGGGCTAGATGTTGTGAGGTGCTGTTGAGTTTAGGAACCAGCCTAGAATGTTGTCGCATTTGATGCAGACACAGCAATGAGTTGAGCAGGCAACCAGTATTTAATACAAAATACGAATGTAAGTCGAACTTTTCAGGAGACTTCTATGCCGGCCTGGATACCACTCAAAGTTGTGTGACAGCTGGGATTTTGGCGTGTGCCACGATAAGCCACGCGCCCAGGTTAACCCTTTTCAGTCATAGGAGACTGAATTACTTGCACCATGTTTAGATCGGGATGATAATCTTTGAGAGCCCCGGTCGCAATCGAAGGCGATGAAGACCATGGCGAGAATGGCCAATACCGTTGTGATAACAGGACTGGGGACTTGATTGCAGTCCCTGTGAGTGTACACTAACCAGCAAGTCTGACGAGGTCTCGACGCCATATACTGGCAAGTAAAATCCCTGCTAGACCCTCATCCCTTTCTTTCCGAGGGCATTCCGCATGGATAACAAAGAACTCTATTTGTCTTAGCGGCATCGCCCCCGCATTTATGAACCTGCAACATGATTGCTTGGGCCCCAGAACCGAGCGTCTGAGCCATGCCCTATTCGGCATATATATGCGCTCGCGGCCCCGTCTGCCTTTCTTGGGAAGTTGAAATCTCAATTCTTCATTCATCGTCGGCAAGGTCGGCCATTTCGAGAACTCCGCTGAGCAGTCAATTCCAAGGCTTGAACAGATAACGACTACGCTGACCTCGGTCGATAGCCCTCAGTAGGTCACCGATGGGTCGCTCTAGGGGAGGATGCTCCAATTGTAAGAGGCGGAAACGGAAATGCGACGAGACGCGTCCAGATTGCCGAGCATGCCAAAGGCGTGGCATCCAGTGCGAAGGCTATAACACCACACTCAAGTGGACCAACGGAATAGCCTCGCGGGGTCGGTTTGCTG